TCTGCGGCCCACATGTGCATTCTTTAGAATCCTAAATGATCAAAATCAAATTATGGTATTTCTCTTTATTTGCGCCACTCCAATACTCCCAACCAAAATAATTGAAATAAATTAAAAGATCCAGATGGAAGAGATAGCGAGGGCCGGGGACTTGGCCTCCGCACTGGTCCGCCTGTTTGATGTGGCCTCCACCTCGCCCACACAGATGTCCGACGATGCGGTGGCCCAGATCCTGCGGCACACAATGGAGCCCGCACCATCCAATCTGTGGGCGGTGCTGTGCTCGCTGCCCACGCGACCACTCGACCCACCCGCCCCCCAATCGCTTGGCAACATCTGGCAGCATTTTCTACGCTTGCGGGCCGCGCTGGCCTCCTTGCGGAGCGTGGAGGCAGCAGGCCTGCGCACCCAGCTCAGCCCCTCGCTGCTGGCCTCCGACCCCGCCGTGTGGACTTCTTTTCTACCCCTTTGCCTGTGGCTGCAACGCCACCAGCGAAACGCCAACAGGCGCCTTCTCATTGGAATCTGGTACGAGCTCCAATCTCGCATTTACCTTTCAATGTCATTTATTTATTTATTTATTTATTTTGAATTAAACGATTAATTGAAGCAAACAATATTATTGTTCTCAGTGGGCCACCAGGCGCGGGAAAGGTGCACACCTCTTCTTCTTGAGCGAGGCGCGGCGTTCCTCATAATCGAGATGTTTCCACACAGACCGTGCTGAGTGAGATCTTGATGTTTGCGCTGAACCGCCTGTTTGCGCCGGTGGGCACCGGCGGTGAGGACGACACCGACGTCGACGTCAGCTGCGTGTTTGCCTTCGACGCCTACCACTACCCCAACGCCTATCTCGGTGAGCCACCCCCAACAGCAATTCCTTTCTCAATCGCGCAACCAACTGACGCAACGCGCGCGTGTGCGTGTGCGTGTGCGTGTGCGGTCGTGTAGATTCGCATTTCGTGGAGAGGGACGGGGCGGAGGTGCCGCTGCGGCAGTTCAAGGGCGACCCGGTGTCCTTCGACGTTTCCGCCTTTGTCCGTGATCTGCAGCGCATCAAGCACCAAGACGGTGATGGCGGCGGCAGCGGCGGCGGCGACAATGCGGGACGCAAGGAGATCCGTCTGCCGGTCTACGATCGACGACTACACGACCCCGTGCCCGACGCGCTCACCATCAAGTCCCAGCACTCGTTCGTGCTCGTCGAGGGCCTGCTGCTGCTGCACGATGAGCTCGGATTCGAGGCGATCAGAGACCACCTCGACGTGTGCCTCTTTCTCGACGTCGACGAGCCCGAGTGCCATCGCCGAGTGGTAGCGCGCAAGGTCGTCGGCGGGCGGGACCCGGATGACGCCGAGCGACACTACGCGCGGGTCGACCTGCCCAACGTGGTGCGCATCAACCAGAGGAGCGAGAGGGCAGACCTCCTGCTCCAGCTGGGACCCGACGGCGAGATACGCAGCGCGAGGCCCGGCCGACTCGCCCCGTAGACGCAGGCGTGCGTCAGCACCTGCGATCAAGCGCGTCACGCAGTTGTCAGCCGCGGTTCTCGACTTCGTTGCACTGATCAGCGCTTGCGGCACGAGGGCTGGCCGATAGGAGAGCCCTCTTGACAACTTCCGCGGTACCTCGCTGCTCATTTGGCCTCAGTCGCGCTTGTTCATGGCCAGGTCGGCTTCGTGTCCGCAGTGGCCGTGGGCATCTGCTTGTCCGTGTGCGTGCAAGAGTCAAACACCTTCTGAGAGGCCTTGAAACAGCATGATCCACAATGGCATGAGAGAACTCATGAAGGACGTGTGAGGATTCCTGGGCTGCCTTGTTATTGTCTGGTTTTTGTTTGCATAGTGTCCTTCCTTGTTTGGCCTTGTGCCTGTACAATGCCTGATTCTTTTCCAAAGAACCAGAAACCAAGAGTCCTCTGCAGCTACAAATCTCTCTGGCATTGAATCTTGCACTGGTATAAACTGCAAAATGTGCACACCTCCTCACCCCCCTTGAGTGCCTCTACAATGCTCTGCTCTTGTCCTGTTCTTTTCATCTGCCTTCCAGACTCAACATGATTGCCCAGGGCCCAGTGGTGTCCATAAATTGGAATCATAACCCCCAAACCCCCCCTGATCATAACAATGAACCAACTGAACCACCACCATCAAGAGATGAAGAGAAAGGCAGACAAGAGGAGCCAGGGACATCTCAACCCACCTGTGCTAGTGCTTGTGGATCCCACAGAGCTTGCTGTCATGTGGAGGAAGTACCACCAGCCTTGTTACTACAAGGTTGTTGATAACAACCATACACACCAGGCAATCCCCAGCTCACACTCCCAGGGTGCCTCCAGTGCCTCTGTGCCCATCTCCACACCATGGCCCATGAGTAAAAGCTTCACAACCTCCAGGAGATCACCCACAGTCCTCACTATCCCTACTTCCACATTCACAACAGCTGTGATGTTGCAAAGATGTCAACCTCCTTGTTGATTGTATCAGCAAGGGAGACCAGCCAAACATGTGTGACAGCTGCAGGAACAATCCTAGTGGCAGGAGGAATATGCCAAGCAGCTGGAGGAACACAACAAGCTGTTTGAAGACCAGTTGCAAGTGCTCACCATAGCTGCACTTTTCCAGGCTTGTAAGCCAGCCACACCTACTTCATTGTCCTCACCACATGCAATAGTGCCTGGGATAAAACATGTTCTTTCATTTTCTTCATTCTTTTCCTGCACCACAAGAGAGAAGCAAATTTCAGCAAGTACGATTTATAATCGCACATAATGGCGGACGATGAGGACTTGTACAAGGGACCGCTGGCAGAGCGCGTCCAAAGCAAGAACTGGAAGGTGAGACGAGCCGCCTTCGAAGAATTGCAGCAGAAATTCAAAGAGGCCACCGACAATGCCATCTTTGATGAATATGGTACGTACCATACGTCATCACGTCATCGCATCACCTCACGTGCACCACATCTTGCAAGATCTGTTGTGGTTCTCATCTGGAGGCCATTTCGCGTTTCTACTTGCAGCGCCCAAATTCAAGAAGATAATCGAAGACAAGAACGCAGCGGCCCAGGAGAAGGGACTCGAGGCCCTTCTCACTTGGATCGACAGAGCCGAGAACCCCACAAAGTGCGGTCTCTTTCATCTTTTTGCTCCCTCGGCTCAGCGAGCAGCTGACCCGGCGCGTCACCGCCACACACGCAGATTGAACGGCCTGTGCCAGCCCTTGGCTGTGAACTGCTTCGGCGGACGGTCGAACACAGTGCAGAAGGCGATCGAAGCGCTGCTCCTCTTCATCGAGGTGGACAGATCAGGCGAGGCCGTCATCGTATGCACTACTCCTCTTCCCTCCTCCACCACCACCCTTTCATTCTTTTTTTTTTGCTTTCTTTGCCTCTAAACAAGGCGGCTGCTGGTTCTGTTCCGTTCTGTTCTTCGTATGGCTGTAGGCGTGCGTTGCTGCCAGAGTGCTTCAGCAAGCAGTGGAAGATCAGCTCGACCACCATCTCGACGATCGCGCTTGCGCTTAAGACCTTTGGGCACAAGCACGTGCCGCTGAAGCCCATCTTGAAGGAGGTGGCCAAGATGTTCGAGGACAGCAACGCCAAGGTGCGCGAGGAGGCGCAGAAGCTGATGATCGAGATGTACCGCTGGGCCGGAGCGGCCCTCAAGCCCACCGTCGACACGCTGCGACCTGCACAGGCCAAGGACCTCAACACCGCGTTCGAGGCGCTGCCCAAGGCCAAGGCCGTGCCTGAGAAGCGTCTGCGATGCGAGCAGCCTCAGGACGACGAGGAGGAAGCGCCCGCGGGTCGTGGCGCGGGCGGCGGCGGCGGTGGGGTGGAGAAGAGAAGATGAAGAGTCGGGTGGTATGGATGCCTACGAGCTGGCGGAGCCCGTCGACATTCTGTCAAAGCTCCCCGGCGATTGGTATGACAAAGTGGTACGTCGTTGTGTCACAACAACAACAACAACAGCCTCTTCTACACGACCTCAGGTCCTCGGCTCACCCACAAAGTGTTGTTCTTTGATTTCCGTACCACAGGCTTCGACCAAGTGGAAGGAGAGGAACGAACAGATGGACGTCCTGCTTTCGCTCCTCAACACTCCACGATTGCAGCCTGGCGACTACCGGGAGCTCACCAAGACGATCAAAAAGGTTTCACTCCACACCACCTCTGTCGCCTTGTTCATCAAAGCTGATGTGCGCCCACAGCAACAGTCATCTAACCACTGCGCTCTCATGCGTTCCTGACATACCATAGATTATCGACAAGGACGCCAACGTGACGGTGGTGATGAAGGCTGCCCAAGCTGCGGGTCTTCTGGCCAAGGGGCTTCGACAGGCCTACTCGGCCGACGCCAAATACCTGGTCTCCACGCTCCTGGCCAAGTTCAAGGAGAAGAAGGCCAACGTCGTCACCGCCATCCACGAGGCGCTCGACGCGATGATGGACACCTGCTTCGCCCTGCCCGACCTGGCCGAGGACCTGCCCGCCGCGGCCGACGCCAAGACCCCACCCGGCCGTGAACAGACGCTGGCCTTCGTCCTGCGCTTCATCAACAAGTCCAAGCGCGCGTCGGTAGGTCAGGCCATCAAGCTGCTGGGTCCGCTTCTGCTCAAGGCCATGGACGACAGCACGCCCGAGGTGCGCGAGGCCGCCTACAAGGCCTTCGGTACCCTCGTGGGCAAGGTAGGCGAGCGTCCGCTCTCGCCCTACCTCACCAAGCTCGACGGCATCAAAGAGAAGAAGGTCAAGGAGAACTACCCCGAGAAGATCTTCACCGGCACGCTCAACCTCAACCCCCAGGCGGCTGCCGCCAAGCCTGCAGCTGCCGCCAACGGCAAGCCTGCGGCCTCCGCAAAAAAGCCCGCGGCCGCGACAGCCAATGGGAAGCCAGCGGCCGCCAGCGCCACCGCCACCGCCAATGGCGCCAAGAGGCCGGCTCCTGCTGCCGCTTCTTCTTCGAACAAGCCGCCGGCGTCATCGCAACCCCCGAAGCCCGCCGTCGCCCCGAAGCCCGAGCCTGCCGCTGCCGCCCCGGCGCCCAAGCCCGCTGCCTCTGGGCCCAAGCCCGCGGCGGCCAAGCCCAAGCCCAAGCCTCAGCCTGCGATTCCCGTCGAGCTCCCGCTCATCACGCCCGAGGAGGCGATGGAAAAGGCCACGGCCGTGCTCGCCGAGACCACGCTGCCCCTCCTCGAGGACGCCCAGTGGAAGAACCGCGTGGCCGGTACGGGCTTGTTTTGTTTGCCAAGCGAATCTGTCGGTCTCTCGACGATGTCTAACCGATTGCCAATCGCCCGCAGGCATGGAGGAGCTGATGGCGCAGCTGGACAAGCTGCTGGAGAAGGACGACGCGCTCATGGTGCAGGTCATTCTTCGTCTCATCGAGCAGAAGCCGGGCTTCAAGGACGCCAACTTCCAGGTCATGCAGAAGGTGCTGCAGACTATCACGCGCCTTGCCAAGTCGCAATTCTTCACTAAGTCCATGGCTGAGTTGGTGCTGGCCGGTACGCCCGATCGCTCTATTTCTCTTTTCTTTTTCGTTCTTTTCTCTTTTTTCTCTGCTAATGTCCTGCTTGCCCGCATACTGTGATGTGTCGGCACTCTAGTCCTGGTCGACAAGATCGCGGACATCAAGCTGCGGACTCGTGGCGCTCGAGTGCCTGAACGGCGTGGTCGAGGCGGTGGGCCTGGACTTTGTGCTGCGCGAGGTCTACAAGCACGCGACCGAGAGCAAGAACCCCAAAGCGGCCAACGAGGTCTTGAGCTGGATCACCACCGCCATCGAAGATTTCGGTATTCAGGGTACGTTCGAAGCCTTCTTATTTGCTCAGTCTACAACATATCCTACATAAATTCAACGTTCCTACATACTTGTATGATAGACCTGATATATTGATTATGCATATATGTAGGCCCTCCGGCGCCGGTGGACGTCAAGCTCCTGGTGGAGTTTGTCAAGACGCTGCTGGAGCACAGCAACGCCATGGTGCGTTCGTCGGCCACCAAGACGGTCACCAAGATCTTCACCTTTGTGGGCGAGGCCATCAAGGAGCACCTGGGCGACGTCAAGCCCGCGCTGATGACCACCATCGAGAAGGAGTTCGCCAAGTACGCCAACGCCAAGCCCGACCCGCCCACCAAGTTCTACCGCCAGAAGGAGGCCGTCGTCGCTCCCATCGAAGAAGAAGGAACCCGAACCGGAGCCTGTGGCCGAGGAGCCGGCCGCGGTCGAACTCGTAGAACCCGCGCCTGCGTCGGTGCGCACGACCACCTCTGCTGCGCCCAGCAGAGCCACATCTCGCCCGGCTCCCGCCGCCGCGCCGGCGCCGGTCGACGACGGGTGGGTGGAGGGTTCGATCGACGAGTACGACGACGGGCGGCAGGAGGAGAACGCGCCACCGGCCCGCGCCGACGTCACGCCGCTGCTCACGCCGGCGCTGTTCGCCGAGCTGGCCGACCCCAAGGACTGGAAGCGGCGGAAGGAGGCGCT